TAGTATTTTTTGCATGATCTGACAGCTAGAGTTATCCTCTATAGCAGTGAATTTAGACTGATGTTATTTTTGTCAAAGTACATACAGAGTTAAATTGATAACGGATCTATGAATAATGACAATTACAAAGACATTAAATTTAAATTAGGAATATAAACTAATTTGTTGTGTGATATAGATGATCAATAATATAAAAATGAATTAAATAAAAATGGGATCATATTGAAGCAAAAAACTTTCATATTTCATTTAGATTTTATTTCGATTGTTCAAAATAATTAGAAATTAAATTGGGGGCAGCTGCTACCTTAGTCTATTCTTATTTAAAAGTAATTATTATTTTTTATGTTTATGAATACAGTACTTTGTTAATTACAGTACATTTTGTATGATATACGGTACGTATCAATTACCATCGCCTATTTACCCATAAGCGTTACATGTGGCAATCACTTGTTGACAAAAATTTGCTCATCTGCTGCTGACAGACGTAGTGATATTATTGTTGTTGCCACGTCAAAATCCAAATGAAAAACGCAATGACAAGAACAAAACTGGCACCGCCTGCCCCACCCCGCGCTCACTGTGCGGTGGCAGCAGAAGGTTGGCGCGTGAAAAAACGCGCAACGCATCAGCAGGGACGAAAGTTAACTGGGAGAACGGCAACAGCACGAATCCGAACAATGCTGCCATAAATAACAAAGCCAAATGTTGCGACACTCTTGTGTAGAGAAGGGTGCGGCTGCTGCGAGGGGGCAGGTGCGACTGAGCGAAGGGAGGGGCAACTTGTGCTTGGCTGTGGCACTGTCACTTCGAGTCTGGGTGAATGTGCCGTTAGAACCATGACAAACAAACACAAATGCAAACATTGCTAAAGTGGGGAGGGGTTGGAGTTTGGTAGCAAGAAAATATTTACAATCAAGTCGATTAACAAAAGGAAACCTTCTGACGCGCACTTTTGAGTTCTCAGTTCAGTTCTTTGTTTTTTTTTTTTCATTTCTTTTTTTGCTCTTTGCTGCTTCTGCTTGTTGCTTTTTTAATTAAAAATCAGTAAACCTACGCAGTCACCCGCTGCCACCCCCATCAGTATCGTCTGCCACCCCAGCCATCAACCAAGGACTGTCATCAGCGCCATTTTGCAAATCAACGCAATGATTGCGCCTCGTTGTTTTTGTCATCACATTTCATTTACAACAAAATATTTTTCATAAATATAACGGGGCTTGAGCTCTCAGGCTGGCGACACTTGAGACTTTTGCCACATTGCCCCAGCAGCAGCAGCAACAACAACAGCAAACAATTGACAACAAGCAGCAGCGGGCGACGTCATCATTAGGGCCGCCCACACAGGAAACCAAAAGCAGCACAAGGCGAGTCAGGGGAAAAGAGAAAGGAGAGCTTTGAGCTGGTTGCAATTGTTTTCGGCACCCCGCTGCTCCGACTCTGACTCCTACTCCAACTGAGTCCAACTTCTACTTCTACTTCTACTTCTACTTCTGCTCCTACTCCAGAATTTACGCTAGCTGCTTATATTGTCTTATGAGAGGAAGTCGCTGACTGGAATATGCTGGGGGATATGGGGGATTGGTTGAGGGCTTTGCTACCTCGTGGCATGGCTATGCATATGGAACGGAGCGGATGTAACTGTAGAGTCATTCAAAATGATTGACTGCGAATGACGCACCATGCAGCAAAGAAATGCAAATATTACTCTTATGAATTATATAAAACCATTTCAGTAACCACTTAATCTGCATATGCTCTGAGTTATGTGTATTATGTGACAAGGATTTGTGTATGTTGACAAGCAAGAATTTATAAATCCTACGACTTGTATATCTACCTACACCAATGTGTCAGTAAACTGTACACTTCTTAGGACTAGAAAATAGTGGATTCGCCAAAATGCCGAGAACTGTTGGGAAATTTTAAGAAAAATATAGTTAAAATCAAAATATATAAATCTTTATGATATACAAAATATTGCAGTATAAATCAAGCCAAAAAGTACTTAAACAATATCGAAGGCAACAGAGATTAAAAGGATAAACATTTAAATATCTCTATGGTCTTTGATAATCTGCACCACAAATACTTTTATTGCATTTTTTTTTTACAACTTTTAAGATAAGTTTATTTTCATTAAAATGTTATTCCTTCGCAATACCATTTTTACCATCAACTTAATTTGCATATCCCGTTAGAGAGCAGAAAAGCATCGAGTTTATCCACAGTGCCTTCGATTCAGTGCCTAACAATTGCATCAGCTTCTGGTGCTTCACGCTTCGCCACTCGTCTTTGCACTTCAATTCCCCATTCTTATTATATTTTTATGCAATTTTTCACTTTACGACTTTCATGTTGTTTATGCAAATAAGCGCAAAATTCTATTTGAATTTAGCGAAAAGAATTATGGTAAAGCGATTGTCAACGCTCAGCTTCATTCTGTGTAGCATTTGCCGATGCTGAGCTGCTGTGATGCGAGCACCGTTATGATTATGACAGAAGCAGCGCTGCTGATTGGATGGAGTTGGCGCCATGTTGTGCAGATGAAAAAGTTAATAACACATCAAGTGCGAGCGGAAGCACAAAACGATATTACATGCGCCATCTCACTCACACCTGAGCGCTAGGCTCGCGGACACGTGCAGGCAAGAAGCAAGCAAGCAAGCCACATAACAGTTGTCGCTGCTGTTGCTGCTGCTGTTTTTACAAAGTGTAAATTGTTTTAATACTTTTTAGTGCTTTATGACGCCATCTTGGCAGCGATAGCGACAGCAACAGCTACAGCAACAGCAACAACAATAGCGCTGCCAGCGCAGCTTTGCCAGGCGTCATCTGCACCCGACTGCTCTGCTCTGACTTCTGACACCTTACTCCACTCTCACTCTTACTCTCACTCTCACTGTCAGTCGCAATGGCACTCGCAATTTTGCTCACACTCTCACTTGGCGGCGAGTGTGCAGAGAGTACACGTGGAGAGCGCGCGTTAAAATCTCAACTTTTACGACCTTTGGAGCGTCACGGGGGACATTCGCACTGTCGCTCGTGTCGTTTGTTCCACGAGAGTTTTATTTGTATACCCTGTACCTAGTAGAGATGGATCTATCCTACAAAAATAATGCAGTATAAATGCTCGTATAGCAAGTTCTAAAATAATAACTGATAATATTCGATAGAAATGTAAAACACAAAAGATACATCTATAAGGCCAATTAATTACTCATTAAACAAAAGTTTAGTAATTTTGTTCATACAAAATGTTAAATCAGATCAATAATGATTAACAATTATTTCACTGATGCGGAGCCAAGCCGGGATAGTTCTAAAAACTTTAAAATAGTTTTTTTCAGGGTATTTTGAAGTTGAGCTCTGTGGACTGGAGCAGTTTTACTTGTTTTTAGTTTTATTTTTTTTGGCATTGTGTGTGACGTTGACTTTTACCTGTTGTGCTTTCCCTCCGTCTGGACCCCCACGCAACTCGCCACCCACCGCGTGCTGCACTTAGCAAAAATGGCAATTGTCAGAGATTCTGCACGTAATACACCCCCTCACCTATCATCCCCTCACCCATCTGCCCTTTGCTTTCCGAGCAGCTGGCAGCAACATTTGGCTGACATTTTCAAACTGGCAAATTGCGTGTCGCAGTTTTAATCAAAATTGTTTCGTTTTGCACATTTCACTTCATGAATTGTTCAGTTTTCCAACTGTCAAATAAAGTTTTGACGCACTTGTCCTAATGGGTGGGGTGAGGCGGGGATTGTTGAAAAGTTGGGGGGAGGGGGATGTTTTGCTTGTTTTTGACACTGCAATGCTGGTAATTAAAATACTTTTGCTTTGTTTATTTTGTTGTTTCACAATTAGTTGCACATTTTTGGACCATTTACCCACGCTCATCTGCAAATATTTAACTGTGAATTGCGCATTCTAATTTATTTGATTTTTGGCATATTTTGTTCTCATTACAGTTTGGCAAACAATTTCTGTATCGCTTACAGTGCTGGCTAGCGAAATGGAAACGCTTTTGCGCGAAATTTAAACGTAAGTTGGAAAAAGTGCAGAAGAAAAACAAGTTTTTATAAGAATTAAAGTGGTGAAAATATCCATTAAGCAAATGAGTCAACTAAACTTAGGATGACGCCTCAAGTTTAGAAAGTAGGAAAAATTTGGTTTTATCGTTTTCTGTATTTTGTATTGGCTTCGCTCATTTCAGTTTTAGGCCTTTAAGCTGTCAGTCAATAGTGAAATCGTTTTGGATTTTACATTGCCTAGACGCCCTTCCGGCTGTACAACATCATAATCATAATCAAGAGCGACTGATACTGCTGTTAATGTGGCAATACCAACTGCTGCAGCTGGTGTCCGTTGGCATTAGTTTGAGCTAAGACTCAAAGTAAAACTCAAGTTACTAGCTGCAACTTGGTCGTAATTGGTGAGTGCGCAGTTCCGCTTCGGTCCTGCATGTGCCGCTGGATGAAATGGGTCAGCGTCACTAAAGTGCTTGAAATGTGCCAAGTGGCCTGCAGCCAATCACGGCAACCAGTAGCGCTCTCAGCTCACACCAATAACTTGTTAATAAGCCCCCAGAATGCGGCCACAAATAAAAAATAAAAAAGTGCTCAAAATGCAGCATACTCAATAACTCAACACACTTGGCAGCCGCAGACGCAGCCGGCACCTGTTATACACAATGCTGCACTTGTTTAGCGTATAAGAGTGGTGGTATCAGTGTGGTGAGTTGGCAACGGCGATCAGCACCTGTGTTGAGTTGTGACCTGCACCAACTTAAGTACCTCAGCAATGTTGCTGAGAGCGCGGAGCCACTCAACTTTCTGTTGCTGTTTGTTCTCTCCTCATTCGATCGATCTCTCTGCTGTTGTCTTGGACCCGACCCGAACAACTTTCTACGCGCGCGCAGCGACTTTAGTTGTAGCCGTGACTTCAAAGCGAACGGTGCGTGAGTCGGCTGTTTGTTTGTTTGTTTTCTTTTAGTGTAGCGCGTGAATTTTCTCTCGCACATTTTCTTGCCCATTGGCGAAGTTTTCAAACTGTCTCTCAATTGATTTTGCGCACGTAATTAGAACAAACGGATTGTCCGTTAATTGCGGCAGCCTGCAACGGTGCCTCTTGTCTCACTTGCCTCGCTAATGTGTCAATCGATTAGCGACGCCCAAGAAAGGGGCTAAGTGTGCTAAGTGAAAAAGCCATGAGCTAATTGCTCCAACAGCTCCAAATATGTCCAAGCTGCTGCCAAAGAAGCGCTGGTGGCACATCCGCCTGCCCGGCAACCAGCCACAAAATGATGCCGCGAGAAAGTATCGCGAGATCATCATGCACAACGAATGTGCCTCAGTGCTTGCCTCAACGGATACCAGCAGCAGCAGCAACACTCCCAGCCAGAGTCTTAGCTGCGATAGCTTATCGAAGAGCTCACAGCCGGATGCGGGCAAATTGTTTCCACGCAATATGCCCAGCATACGACGTAGCCGTAGACGCTCCACGGAGCGCAGCAAGGATCCAACTGCTGCTGCTTCAGCTGCTGCTCCTGTTCCAACTGCTGCTCCTGTTGCAGTGCCCGCTCAGCAGGTGCAGTGCAGCGGTTCGCAGTCGCGTCAATCGACGGTTACCAAGCTGACGACGCCGCAGCGCAAACCCAAATCCAGCTGCTCCAAGCTCCAAATCAAATCAGCTGTCAAGGCCAAAACGAAGCCAAAACAATTGACATTGGCGCCCAATCCCATTGCCTTGGAACTGCCGGCGCCGACGGGCAGTGAGCGGGAGGAGTGCACAAAGCTGAGCTTGGCGAGAGCATTGCACTCGCAGCAATCGAGCCTGATTAGCAGCGATTTGTCCACCAGCTGCTCGTCGGTTGGGCAGAAGCTCGGCCAGGAGCAGGAACAGTTTCACTCCTCCGGTATATCCTGCAATGGTGAAACGGACGATGATGTCGAGGTGGCCATGCTGACGGGCAGCCTAACCTCAGCCCAGCTGCAACACATGCAACACATGCAACAGCAACAGCAGCAGCAACAGCCGCAGCAACAACAACAGTTCATAACAAAAACAACTTTGGCATCTAAATTATTGCCTTTCAACGAGTTACGCAATTTGAATATTTGCCGAAATCGAAGCGCTCTTTGGCTGCAGAATGCAGCAGAAACGGAGCAGCTGTTAGTCGAGGGGAGGAGCTGCGGCAGGAGCAGGAGCCGGGAGTCAATAATGCGGAACGTTTGCTACTTAAATGCAGCCATGACGGATGATATGCAACTGAGCGACATTGAAGAACAATTGGCCAAGCTGGATGGCCAGCAACAGCAGGAATGCAAAGCGTGAGTTTAACTTCTGAGAAAGCACTTAGAATGCCTATCGGAATGCCCATAATTCGAAATACAACAGAAACAACGAAAACCCATAAGACCCATATAATAAGAGTCGCAGATAAGCCCACAACAGGTTGTGAAATGGCCAAAACTGGTCAGAGTGGTGTTAATAGGGGTGGTGTGGGGAGCTACTCAACTGGAGCGGCAAAAGGCAAACTAATTTCGAATGCGTTTGACGCGCTTAACAAAGCAACTGAGAGCGGTGTGGGGGGAGCGATTGTTCTTAATCCATTTCCCCCCACTACAACTCTTAGTTCATATAGAACATTTTATGAGCTAGTTTAACGGCTGTTTAATGGCTTTATATGGATGAGGAACGCTCTTAAATTGCTCGTAAATGCGTCAACAATTTCTGATGAGCAGGTTGTATGTGGAGTTTGAACTCAAACAAACCCCAAACCCCAAAATCCATAAACATAATTATTGTTTTCTAATTGGACATTTGTAATTTGTTGGTATTTTAACATCCATAAAATTACTAAATTCCTATAAAAAATATTCAAATTAAATTTTTCATATTTGAAGCTTCAATCTTATTAATCAAAATATCTTATAAATAAAAATTTGTTAATGATAGATACTTATAATTATGATATGTTGATTAGTATAAGATTAATTCTACTTTTAACTAAGTAATTATGTTAACAAGCCACAATGAATGCTTATTTTATGAGTGTTTCTTTTCTAAATGTGTATATCGATATATATTTATTATGTGATGCACATGATCTGAACAAATTGCTTCTTGGCTTAATATATATCTCTAAAGTATCCCGCTTTGTTTTTTCTTTCCTAATCTTTTTTTTTTGTGTGGATTTAAAAAAGAGGCACACGATAAACTTGGTTATCATCTGCAGCGATATTATTGTGTATATAAATATAATAACTCTCTTCGACATCTGCTTGATTCTTAACATCATATTTTTTTGCTTGCAGAAGCTAAAACGCATTGGATTTTTGTTCCACACGACTTATTTAATTGGACGAACTTTGTGCCTTGTCCCTTGTATTTTGTGCTTCTTAAGCTCCTCCTTGGCCACATATATATATATATATATATATATATAAATGTATACATATATGTATGTATATTTTTATTTAGTTCCACTGTCATTTTGTGTCCTTTGAGCCAGACCGTCACACGATTTGCCTTGGGGGCTGCTTGCATAAATTCCATATGTCAGTTTAATAACCTGCCATATTTAAAGTCTCGTTCGCACTGTTAACTGTCTGTGGCAAAATTGAGTTGTGCTCTTGCCACATGAATGGACGCGCTTTTGCCGATAAGATGCGTCAGAGGCGTATTTAGAGTTTCTGAGTTCATTGAATGTATTTTGCATCTTTGGCATCTTTAACTTTCGCTTCGTTTGTTCGCAGTAGCCGCTAAAGCTTTAACAAGCAAAAACAGTGATTTTTATAAATCAACGAGGTTGCTGATTAGATGCCGCTGAAGTTGCAGCATGTTGCATCTGACGCGGACGGAAACTGCATAAACCGTACCCTGAAATTCGAGATGTGAGCCTATGAAAAGAGCGAATGTGCCATGTCCTATTAAATTTCCACTGCCTTTCAACGCAAATCGGCCAAAGACAATATTGACTGCGGCTACTTAAAGAGCAATTAAGCGCTAGGGCTGGGCTCGTGTTGCAGCTTATCAGAAGTGACACGAGTTTTCTATTTTAAATTAATGTTTTTTTTTAGGCAGAATAATTTAAATTTTCACAAACACGAAATGTGCTAAAATAAATTTAGTTTTTAACTTTAACTGTCCATTCGAGCTTTCAATATATACACGAAATTTGCATAAGTCGTGCTCGTGGCACGAGTTCATCTCTCATAGGCCTTACCATTCGACGCATCGACCCTGTGAGCACTTTGCATTGGAATTTCTGTTTTACTGCTAGTAGCGAAATGTGTACAATAAAATATGTATAAGTACTATATAAATAAGCTACTTGGACTCGGACTTGGACCTGAAGTTGTCCCAACACTGGGTCTGATGAGCCAGAGGGAGAAAGAAAAAGAGTGTGTTGGTAACCGGCACATTCAATAGTACTGCGAGTGTGGCCAGTTGACCAGCTGCCAGTTGTCCGGGTGGTCCCTGTGCGAGGCTGAGAGGCAGCGAGGCAGTGGAGGCAGCTGGTGAGGCGGCAAGGCTTATCGCTTTACGATTTGCTTTGATTTAAAAATGGAGCCGAGCATTTGATTTTAATTGCATTCGATGTGCGCAAAGCTTCCATGATATATGGCATTTTAATTGAAATGGCAAAGGCCAGCGACGGCGGGTGGCGTTAAGGGGGCTCTGGCAAAGACAGGGGCGGATTTCAGCTAGATTTCCAGGCATATCAAATGACCGCCTCTAAAGAAGCGTAACGCAAATAGTTTTTATTTTATAATTAATATTTTTTTGTACACATGTTTTTCTCTTTCTTTTTTTTTTTTTGTGGACTTTTCAAACGTGGGGCGTTTGAGTTAGAGTAATTTCTTTAGTTGTCTAAGCGAAAGGCGTTGGGCGTGCCTTGTCTAACTGTTTACAATTTATCAGCTGTGATTGGCGGCTGCTGTCAAAAGAGAACCTGGTTTTGGCAAGCTCTTGATGCCCCCCCGCCACAATTTCTTGAGTTGTAATAAACTACAATTTTAATTACGCATATTTCATAATTGCGGCTGGTTTTTATGGCCCCAACATAAAACGAAACGTGCTCCAATCAAAACAAAAACTGAGAGATTTTGTGCTGTGACTATAAATGTATAAAAAGCTGAGCTCATATTCCAGGCCTGGACCATGATAGTCTAATGGCTTAAACGTTTTATTGTCATTGTCACTGTCAGCTGTATTCTGCTGGTTTTTGGCCAGGTGTTGAGGTTGATGTAATGCCTCAAAGCGTTGCAAATTTATTGGCCCACACTCTGCTGAGATAATACCAATAAAATACATTAGCTGAACAAAGCAAAAACTCGGCAAATTTACAAGAGAATAGTCCGCAGTTTGTTGTTGATTGATTTTGTTAGCTTGGGAAATTCAATTTATGACAAACACACACACACAAAAATCAATCAAAACTTCACTCAAGCAGCAACAAACAATAATTGGCAAAAGAAAAAAACCAAAAATGAAAAATGTGTTGGTAAAATAAAATCGAAAACCGCAAATAAAATTAGCGTAAAGCCAAAGCCAAAGGGCCAACCAGCAGCAGAAGCAGCAGACAAGGGGCAAACGGCTGTGGAGAGAGGAGGGAGGAGGGAAGGAAGGGATGGGTGTGTTAACCAGCTAAATTGAAGGGCGTTGCTGTGAGCTTATTACGTTTCCTTGGCTTTGATTATTGTTATTATATAAAGTCTCTGCTCTGACACAGCAATTTGGTGGCCATAAGTCAGTGAGAGGTCGAGGCTTGTTCCGCATCTATATGTGTTCACATATACACATATATACACGTACATGCATACATATATCCATCTCTATTTCCCTGTCGATCTTGTTCGGAATGTGTAAGATAAACGCTCAGTTTATTTATTTGCGGCTACTTTTATGCGCCCACTAAAACCAGTTTCAAGTCTCTTTTTTTCTTCCCTAGCAATTTACGTTTAATTGAAAATTGTGCTTAAAGCATTAAGCATTAAGCATAAAACGAAAATTAATTAGTTTAATGGCCATCATTTTGTAGCACAAAAGCCAAATTACAAGCAGCGCCTTTCAAAATAAAATTGAAGGCAACATCATTTCGACGAATTGCCGAAAGTTAAATACCCTTACAGGCATTTAACTTAAGCCTAAATAAATCAGATATGATTAATTGAACCATATTGTTTATTAACTAAGTTGGATTCTTGAGCCACAAAAGTTACTGAAGGGCAAACTATAAACAGATAACATTTAATGACATTTTTACTGTGTTACAAGATTTATAACACACTCATAATAGGTCTCTCAGCTAAGGTATACTAAATGGTTGTCCGCCCACACTAAAATAGAGCCGGGTCTTTTATTCGATGTTAGCCATTGTTGTTGGCCAGAAAGAAGTTAAATCGACCTGAAGGCAGCTTGCCTCAATTATTATAATTACCTCGAAATGATTGCAAAGGTAATGTTTTGCGTTCAAGCCACAAATTGATTTGTCATTGCATTTAAAATGACACGAAAAATGTACATATATATTTATATATATATATGTATAAATTAATTCATTTATAATTCTAAAACGCTATATTTAAAAGAAATTCATGCAAATTCTTTGCTCTCACCAAAAATGGGCACAAATGTCTGATAAACGAAATTTAAGCATAAAGCAATTTTGTGAAAGTGTCCAAGCGAATCAGAAACCGAAACTCACCGCACCACGCACCCCGCCACGCCCCGTCAGAGTCGTCCGCCCTCATAGCAACATTCGCATCTTGAACTGGTAGCCAAAAAGATCTTCGAGTTGTGAATCGTGATTTTCTTGAAATATTTCTGCCACTTGGCTGGCGGAACAGCGTTGACTGAGCTGCTGAGTTGGCCAACGGTTCGTGCAAATTATTAACAGGCAGCTGCGCATAAGTGTCTTCTCGAAATCAACCAGTCCACACCACCCGACCCCAACCCACTTCCCTCTCTGACCTCGCTTCGGAAAGTGCAGCCTAATGCAGCAGCGAGAGCAGTGCTGTTAGGCATTTGTTATTCATGTCTTCGTCTGCGTCTGCGTCTGCCTCACAATTAAGTTGAAAGAAACATGTGTAGCTACATTTGGGGCGTGAGTGGCATGCCCAAAAGCCAGGTCAACAACGTCTTCAGCTTGAAGTCGCCCACGCTGTGTGTGCAACAGATACAAAAACACGGTGTTGCAAGTACTGTGGCAAGTGGCGCGCTAATGAGCCGTCCAGGGCCTTAACAATCGCATTTTGATAAATTGCTGGCCAACAGAATTATGGGCAAGCAAACTGGGCGAGGAAGTTGCCGCCAACTAACGGCG